TTATACAGCCCATGTACGTTGCCGTTTTTCGCACTCTTAACGAGGGATAGAAAATTAAAGTACAGCAATGGCGAATTGACAACCACGAGTCTCCAATTTAAAAAAAAAGTCCATTTTGTCCTTTACTAAATATGCTGTTACAAGAGAGACTATCTCGTTCCATACTCCAAAACGGATTTAAAAAATGTGCATAAAATGGGAACAAATACCATCAGTGGCCTCCTCCAGACAGTGGCAGGAGTATCATAAGAAAAAGGAAAAAGCTAAAGTAGAACATGAAGAGAACAAGCAAAAAAGAGCTAGAGAAAGGATCGCTAAAAAGAAGAACGTAAACTAATAAAAAGAAACAAAATACAACAAAAGAAAAGCATAAAAAGAAAAACAAAAACAACATACGATATTCGGCTAATGGATTAAGTCCACAGTCAAAAGAAACCAACAGCACACACAACATACGATATTTCCTGTGATTTAGAGTCTGATAAGGAATAGGTTGAATCAGGTGACAGCATAGACGATATTAGCGATCCAAGTTTAAATTTGAGAAACCCAGTGGATAATTCTGAAAAAACCAAAAGTTCTTATAAAGAAGGCAACTATGTATTAGTTGAGTTTCCACGAGAAAAAAGAGTTCATAAATTTGTCTGTGTTATTCAGGAAGTTATTTCAAAAACTGAAGCTGAAGTAATAGCGATAATTTGGGATATATGGAAAAAAAACTTGCTTCAAACTAAATTCAGATGATGTAAGTGTCATTTATTTTAAACAAATAGGAGAAAATCTTGATTTCCCAAATATGACAGCAGCACGTGATCCACTAAAATATGAATTTAGCAAACCATTAGATGTTAGTGGATAAAAATATTTCAGTGTCAACTACTAGATCATTATTGTGACAAGAGCTGGTAAGAACAACTTTTTTTAGTGTCATCTACAGGGACATTTGCAGCCCCAAAGTTTTGTTAATTTTTCTGAATAATCTTGATGTTTTCAATAACCTAATTATAAACACATAATTTTAGAAGCATCATATTACCTAAGTTTTAAAAAAGTATTTGTTTTTTCAAATAAATGCGTCATTTATATTCAAAATTTGTATTTTTTATTCGTAAGGTGTCAAATACTGGTACATTTACCTTACTTAGATCTGATTTCTGGATGCTTAATTAAATCCCGTTACACAGTCAAATCCAGTCCAATCAATCTGAACATTATTGTATGTTTAATAGGCTAAATAAACACAGATTTAAGTGTGAGTTATTTAAATTACTGTACAAACAGGGACAACCCCAACATTGTGTTTGATCAAAAAATTAGAAACTCCCCCAAAGAAACCTCGTACAAGTTAACCTAAAAAATTGCTTTAGTGCCCCCTAAAATGCCTGCTTTATTTTTCTTGGGTATAGGTATAAATGTCCATCTAAGCCAGTCTTCTGGGAAGATTCCAGTGATATATATTTTGATAAATAATAGTGTTAACGTCTGAAGATTTTCTTCATTGATAAGCTTTATCATCTCTATGTATATTTCATCTGGACCTGAGGCTTTTCGTGGCTTTGCCGTATTGATTGTTTTTGTAACTTGTAGTATTGTAAGTATTGTTTCTTGTACTATAGTCATTTGTGGTTCTGTTCTCTCGTCATCAAACAGATCTTTGATGTATTTTTCCCACATATCCCTACATTTTCTGGACTAGATACTATTTCGTTGTTATCATCTACTAAAGTTTTTGTAGTGATTTTTTTCTTCATATTTGTGACTTCCTTAATCTTTTTGTATGCATTAAAGTAGCCATGCTTTTTTAGTAAATCTCCCAGTTCCTCACACTTGCTGCTCATCCATTCTTCTTTGGCTTTCCTAATTTTGTTTCGGATGATTCCCTGGGTTTCTTTATATTTTTCTTCAATGCAATTTTTGTAAGATCTCCTTATGTCCATCAGTTCTAAGACTTCTTCTGTCATCCATGTATTCTTTGTTTTTCTGATGTTGTCTTGTAGTTGTTCTTTTAGGATAGTTGTGATTGTTGTTTTGAAAGTGTGCCAAATACTTTGGCACACCTTCACACTTGTAAGGTTTTTCTTCAGTGTGCACTTTCACATGTGTGTTTCAAATTACTTTTTTGACTAAACTGTTTGAAACAAATTTCGCATTTGCAAGGCTTTTCTCCAGTGTGAACTCTCAAATTCTTGAGAGTCCACAAGAACAATTCTTGAGAAAGCTGGGAGTAATCCATCAGGACCAGGACTAAATATCACATATAGTCAAGTTAGTAAGACGAAGTGAAGGTGAATCACTGGGTATGTCACATATTTGAGTGGAATAGACTGTAGAGAAATATTCTGCAAAAAGATTTACAATATCTGGTCCGTGACTGGATTCAACACCACCATAACTCAACACAGTGGGCAAGGAAGGCTTTCCGCTCTGTGAATTCACAAATGGCCAAAATCCTTTCAAATTATTTCCTAGTGATAATATGTTACAATAAATACGATTTCTGTAGCCTTCAGCTTTTAACAATTTACAGTTGACCCTCAGCTGAGAAAATGTCTGATTTTCCATAGAGTCCAAGTCCAAGAATCCAGAAGTGATTAAGATAAAAGATATTTTTTGTGAGCTTTCTTTTTCTCAACTATCAGATCCTTTAACTCTGGTGAGAACCAAGAAGAGAATTTACGTTTTGCATACCTTTTTAGGGGGATAAATATTCTATAGCTAAGTAAACTATATCATAAAAAATATTCACAATTTGATTCAGTGGTTTTCCTAAAATTAAATATTAAAAAGCTTTTATTTTAAACTGAATTGGGTTACTTAGATCTGATTTCTGGATGCTTAATTAAATCCCATTACACATTCAAACCTAGTCCAATCAATCTGAACATTATTGTGTGTTTAATAGGCTAAATAAACAAAGATTTAAGTGTGAGTTATTTCAATTACTGTACGAAACAGAGATGACCCCAACATTTTTTTTTTGATCAAATAATTAGAACCTCCTAAAGAAACCTCGTACAAGTTAACCTAAAAAATCGTTTTTGAAAAATAGTGCCCCCTAGTTTAATGTTGACATACTAAAATTAGTACAAGAAAGAAACTATCACTACAAACAGTCTAAGATGTACCCCAATAGTAACTATTTACTTCAACTTTATAAAACATCTCAGAAGACACTCACAGAAAACATTGAACAGAGAAAAAGAGAATTTTATCAAATGGAGATAAAAGCAGCTGAGAATGATCCAAAAAAAGGTTTGGAGTATACTAAACACCATAATACATAATTCCTCTAACAATTCTTCTACACTAACAAGCTCAATAACCACTTTGCTACAGTTGGTTCAGAACTTGCTCAGACCATTCAACACTCTGGATATGTTCCACCAACATATTTTCTTTAGCTTCACAACAAAGGAGGAAATTGAAGATATAATAAATAAATTGAAGGGTAAATGTGTAGACTAGACAAGTTATCAGTTGATACTATTAAAGAGTTCAAGAGTGAGATAATATCAACTATTTTAAGTACTCTAGTAAATTAAACATTTACTACAGGAAGTGTTCCCAGTGTCCTAAAAATGGCAAAAGTTGTTCCAGTATAAATAGAAAGGTGGTGACTCCTCAATATCTAGTAATTATAGACAAATTTCACTTTTACTGGCCTTACCCAAGATTCTGGAAACATGTGCAAATAATAGAAGCATGCACCATTTAGATAATGAAAATTTCTCATACAAAGTCCAATATGGATTTAGACAGGGTAGCAGCACAACAGCAACAGTTAATCTTATGACAAACATTGTTGATAAAGTTTATAAAGGCCAATCTTGTATATTTGTATCTCTTAATATTGTTCTGAAGCTATTTTCTTGTGGCATTTTAAATTAATTACAATTTAACTGGAAATAAGCCACAATTAAAGGTAAAAATATGTTTATTGATGTTTCAATTTCCACTTCGGAAATCATTCTCTTTGACTTGAAAGAAGCCTTTGATACAGTTGGTCACAAGATGTTATTATCTGTATTGGAAACTTTACACATAAGAGGCATAGTGTTGAAGTGGTTTAATGATTACCTATCAGGAAGAACACAGCTTACCTTTCAATACTTGGTCCGACACTGTTACTCATTTATGCTAATTTAATTTCAATATCGCTATTAAGAGATAAAATACAAATGTATGCTGATACCTGCATTGTATACTTTAGTAAAACTCCCAATGAGGCAAAAAATGATGTTGAATTTGAGATACTGAAAGGGTGGTTAGATCATTATAAACTTACCCTTAATGCAGATAAATCAAGTTATATGGTGATAAAATGAGAGAAGAGTCAAAACAATTAACTATATTACTTGAATAAAGGCCTTTACAAAAAGTGGAATGTATTAAATATTTGTGAATGTACATTGACCATAGACTTACTTGGGAGTATCATATACATTTATGCAAAATAAATCTCCTCTGCAATAGGGGTTCTTGGAAGAGCATTATGTAGAAATTAAATATAGGAAAAATATATATTACAGTTTAATACATAGCCATGTCAGCTATTTAACTTTAATTTTAAGAAAGCCACACCTAACCATCTTCATGCTCTTTGTGTGCTGCAGAATACAATTTTTTTTGTTTCCTTTTTGTATAAATAACTTTGAGTTTTCTTTCTGTTAAATAAATATCAATGATAATATCTATACATCATATATAAATTGTTTGAACAGTTGAATCTCAACTTCCTATATAGTGTCGACTTATGCAACTGATGCACCACTACCACTCAACATCAGAGTGAAGCTGGCCCATTGAATACACACTTTGTTTTATATAACTGACTATTAATCAAGTATAGCACTCTAAAATTTTTTGTTGTATATACACTTGCTTACATATTAGTTTAAAACTTGTAAACAGTGAAACCCTTTGTTGTAATAAAATCCTATTAGGGATTGTGCTTATAAGACCTTTTTTCCCAAAAATTAATTTAAAAAAATAAGTTCTCCCTACATACTTTTATCACATCTCTCACCTGAGTTATCTTCATCTGGTTTATTAATCAAATCTTCCAGATCTGGGGATGTAAATAGCTGACTCTCTATATATCCTTGGCCACCTTCAGGAAACTCTTCCTTAATTTTAGCTTTTAGCGCCGTTTCTAATAAATTACATCACATTATTATTTAACACTAACACTATTGTTTACTACAAAAAAAAACTTGTAGTTGTCTTACCTGAGTTATCTAGTTTATTTTTTAAATGCTCCAAATCTGTTGATGTGGATAGCTTAAGCTGACTCTCTATACCTTTTTGGTTATACTCATCTTTAATTTCAACTTTAAATTCCATAGTTGACATATACACTGAATAAATATAATAGAAATGTAGTACAATTGCAATAAAACGTGTAGTACCAGCAACTATGTGTATGTAATTGTTTTATGGTTTCACTCATTTACTGCTCATTTGGCGAATGGATTTAGTGTCCGCATGGTGTCCGCCATAGAATTTATTTTTCTATGGTGTCCGCAGCACTCCGCAGTCATTTAAACACAAACAACAACATGACAACTGACAACAACAATTGACAGCTCATGCTCATTATTCATTGTTTAAATGCACGGTTCGTCGTGGTTTAAATGAACGACATGAATATTATACATCATACACCATTTTTCAAAGTAAAAACGTTGCACGTCACAATTTATATAGTGACGTCACTTATATTTAAAATTTACAAAACGTCAACCATAGAGTTCAAATTTTCTAAAATCTTTCATAGGCGTCAACATGGTGTAATAATCAGAAAAATATAATCATGATCATGATACTATGAATAACAAGATAGGATCTTCCCGTAGCACAAAATCGGTCGTGTTCGCGCATGCTGTCATTGGAGAGTAGAATTTGAATTCTTGTTAAAGTTAAATGGAATTTGTATGCATTCTGTGATGAAATTACTAGACGAAAATAAGTTAAGAGGTTCAATAATTACAATAATCGTACACATAAGGATATCTCCAAACTATTTATTAAAGATTATTTATTGACATATACAAAAAACTGACATTTCGAACGTGCAACTCTCCAATGACGTCACGAATTATGCGCAATATCTTATGTTCTTATCATAGTATTATGATCATTATATTGAAAATTTTAGAATTATATATTGATTAAATAACCAAAATATTTATTATTAATAATATAAATTGTTCAGCGTGTGGCAAAATTGTTTAAGGTGTTGCCCCTTTTTTAGAGTAGGAATTATCATTACATAATATATTAATAATAAATTGTATTTATAAATACATATTAAACTCTACTCAATGATCATGTATGCAGAGTTTAAAAAATTTGTCCTCCTTAGATGTAAAACTATTAAGCCAAAATTAAAATTTTCAACAAAAAATAAAATAATTATGTTTTCAGAAAATTAAGTGAAAAATCAACAACGGGTTATAAACCTGTCAATAAGTGTTTAATTTATTAAGTAAAACAATGTAATTCGTAAAACTTGGAAGATATTATTTATCAACTAAAACAGACAAATCCCGCAATTGTTTATCAACACGCATCCGTGTTAACATTATAAAGAACTACGACATAAAGGATCTACTTAAAATGCCACCAGAAAAGATATATTAAAGATCTAGGGTAAAAGCATAACTGAGAATTTAACAAACACAACAAAAATTCACATATTTAGAAGACTCCATAACTTTCTGAATTGCTAAAAATTTTAGATTTCATTTTTCTCGGAAATAAAAGACGCTATACAAAGAGCTAAGATAACTGATATTCCAGAAGAAAGATTCAGTGTTATAATATATACTAGTCTTAGGTTTCTACCGAAACATTTAGGCGACTATCACTGTGGAACGAGTGGGTTATCACTAACGGTTTTATCTAGAATACCATTTACCAGCTATCTGCGAGTATCTATGAGAGCAGACTTTTAATTTGATAAGGAAGACAAATTGAATCTTGTTTTATTTAATTATATGTATGCAATAGCTCCTAAACCACTTGAATGAAACCACCAAGCACCTCAACATAATAATTTCCGATAATCAAACATAATAAAACACCAAATTCTTAACTCCCATATATTATATCCATCGTGACTAAAACCAATTCCACCAGAAAGGATGTATCAAAGATTCAAGATAAAAGAAAGAGAAATTATCAATCAAGAAAAAAAAATTTACATATTTGAATGCCTCCATTCCATAACTTTCTAAAATGTTTATAAGATTTTATTTTTTTCGGAAATAAAAGACGCTATACAAAGAGCCGAGATAACTGATATTCCAGAAGAAAGATTCAGTATCATCTACAAGAGTCTTGGGTTTCTACCGAAACATTTAGGCGTCGAATATCACTGTGGAACGAGCGCCGGCGACTGGGTTATCACTAAAACTTTTTTCTAGAATACCATTTCCCAGCTATCTGTGAAAATCAATGAGGGCAGCTTTGTAATTTGGCAAAAAAGACAAATTGAACCTCGTTTTGTTTAATATTATTGATGACGATATATGTAATAGGAAAATGTGCAAAATAAGGAAATACAAAATCAGAAAACTATGTGCTAGTAACAAGCAACGAAATCGGTATGCAATAGCTTTTGCACCAATTTAATAAAGCCACTGAGTACTTCAACATAATAATTTCCAATAATTAAATATAAAACCTTTCAACTTCCATACATTTTATCCAACGTGATTCATAACGAATACCACCAGAAAAGATATATTAAAGCTATAAGATTAAACTAGAGCTAAGAAATTACCAAGAAAGACATTAAAATATTAATTAAACACGATATATTTAAAATGGCTTGTTTAACTTTTTTGTTACAACAGCAAATTTACTAAGATGTAAATTGGAGCTGGAAGGTCAGATAATAGAACAACTGAATGGAGTTTAAATATCTAGGCATCCCATTATCTAGCGACGGAAAGCTCGAAACCGAAGTGGAAGATCAAGTGAATAGAGCAAACAGAGACGCAGGCTGCCTAAATGAAACAATATGGAAAAATAAAAATATCGGGAACGAAACGAAAGGCAGAATTTACAAAACAGTCATCAGACCAATAATGGCATAAGCGGCAGAAAAAAGACCTGACACAGAGAGGACAAAAAGGATGTTAGAAACAGCAGAGATGAAAACACTTAAAAAAAAGATGATAAAGCACTATGGGACAGAGCTAGAAGTACCTACAGATATACGACTTAGATGCGAGGTGGAGAACATCAAAAACTGGGTAAGAAATAGAAGAGTAAACGACCGTCTAAGCCGAATGACAACAAATAGAGTAGTAAAGATGACAAGAGACGGTTCCCCAATAGGAAGACGATCAGTAGGAAGACCACGAAAACGATGGAATGACAACTTACTGGAGGCGCATTGAAAAACAGACAGTCATGTCTATATAAAAAGAAGAAGAAGTTTTTTGTTAAGTGTTGAATGTTACTGTGGGCCGAGCATTGGCGACTATGTTTGTTTAAAGTTTATTCTAGAATACTATTTATCGAAGCCTTTCGTGAACATCTATTTGGACAGAGATCTATGTTTCAATTTTGTAAGGAAAATATATTGAACCGTATTTACTTTAATAAAATTCATCATCATCCAGCCTCAAAAGTCCACTGCTGAACGTAGACCCCTTCCTCGTGTTTCCAACCCCATCTATCTTGCGCCACCCTTATCTATTATAGTTTTTATTTCGTCTTCCTAAATAGTGAGTCCATTATGTAGGTGGAGGACCGACGGTGTTTCGTCTTCCCTTGGTCTCCATTCCAATTGGTCATTCTAGCTATGTGCCCTGCGCATCCCATTTTCGTCTTGCTACGCCAGTCACCTTGGTTTTTCTCTTGACCTCTTCGTTTTTTATTTTGTCTCGTAGAGTTATTCCTAAGTTGTCAAAGATGAAGCCAAAGGGGCTATCCCAAAACGACATCGACACCCAAAGCCATCGCAGCAATCCGCAATTTCTGTTGTACCTGAAACCACAGCCAGTGACCCCAGAAGTACCTCTTTGCCTGCAAAAGAGTAATTTTTCTATTCTCAGGCGTTCTAATTATAAGCGTTACTATGAGGCCCATGAATGATGGCCGAGGTCTGTCCCAAGCCCTCACCAATAATCAGTTTTGTTTTGTAACAGTCATATTCTACTTGCATAATGCATAATGTAGTTTTAGTAATGTAGTCTATTAATCAAATTACACCGAATCACGTAATGGGTTTTATCATTATTTACCTCAACCTGTACATTGCAACCTATTTAAAGTGAATTAATTACTAAATGAAACATTATTCTCGAGAATCCTACTTCCCACCTAACATGTCCTTATACCACAGCCTAGTCTGCCTTTTTAGATCCCCGTTTTAAATGTCGAGCATTTAGTTGTGAAGATTATATTAAAAGAGTAATGGAAAAAATTCAAGAAGAAGTTACCTTGAGACAAAACTATATTCCCTTCAGAAATACGAAATTGACATCGTTTCATAATGACTGAAGATGATCTTATTTGGCAAGAATTTGATAAAAATTCCCAAATTAATTTATTACAGACTCCAGTTTCTCAAGCCTTGATTGAATTGAGAATGTATGGTGAAAGAGTCTGTAAAAAATGTAGTAGTCTCAAAGGCAAAAATGTTAAAATTATTTTTTTTACATTGTAATAAATCAATATCGTAAAACATTTACATAGTTTATCATATAAATGATTTAAAATTTTCATTAATTTTATTTTTTGTTTAATATTTGTTATTATAATTGTGTTACTTTTATAAATTTGTTTTTACTTTATTGATATTAATAAAAAATAGAACGTACTATTATATCTTTATTTTGAGATAAGAATAAGTACAAATTGTAAACAGGAACCCTCATATCGTACTTCATATTGTACCTAACAAATGAAAAAGTAATAGTTGACATTATATAACCAAAATACAATACAATTACTTTTGAAAACGATGAATAGTGTTATGAGTACCTAAAAGTAACTATATTTTACAGCACTAGCCCAGGTGTCATGTTTCAACTGCCAACATCAATGGACACCTAAGCTCTGACGTCACAATGGGCGGGAGTTTTCAAAACTTCTCATATTTCTAATTTGTCTCATAAGAAGTTGGAAATATTGTTTTTTTTTTAATTGTTTGAAGGATAAATAAGGACTTTTGGTTATGAAAATTCAATCTATGTGATTGGTATTATTTGTTGTTTGTAAATTTGTGAGGTAAGAATATCAAAGAATTAAGATGTGTATTGATTGGTTAGTTATATACACACAGATAACATTACGGTGTGCACTCTCAAATAAACTTTCTGAAAAACTGCTCACAAAAAAA